TTCATTGTTATGTCTTTTTGTTGGATAGATCCTTTAATCATTATATAGTGGCCTTCTTTGTCTCTTTATATGGTTTTTGGTTTAAAGTCTATTTTATCTGATATAAGAATGACAATTCCTGCTCTTTTTTGTTTCTGTTTGTGTGGTATATCTTTTTCTATCCCTTCACTATTACTTTGTGTGTGTCTTTATAGGTTAGGTGAGTCTCGTGAAGACAGTATACAGTTGGGTCTAGTTTTTTAAAACAGTTAGTCAGTCCACATCTTTTGAGTTGGGAGTTTAATCCATTTACTTTTAGGGTTGTTATTGAAAGGTATTGTCTTACTCTTGGTATTTTTATCAAATTCTGTTTGGATGTTTTAAATATCTTTTGTCTCTTTCTTCCCCTTTTATTGTTTGTCTTTGATGTTTATTGGGATTTTGTGCTGATAAGATTTAGTTTCTTTCTCTTTCTGGTTTGCATTTTTGTTCTACCAGTTGGGAGTTGTTGTTTTTTTTTTTTTTTCTTTCTTGTGTATTTGTGGTAGTGATTATCATTTTCTGGATTCCAGATGCAGGACTCCCTTCAGGATTTCTTGCAGGGCTGATCATGTGGTGGTGAGCACCTGCAGTTTTTGTTTGTATGGAAAATACACTATTTCTCCCTCATTTCTGAAGGATAGTCTTGCTGGGTGTAGTATTCTTGGCTAGCAGTTTTTTTATTTTAGTATTTTAAACATATCAACCTATTTCTTCTGGCTTGTAGTTTCTGTTTAGAAGTCTGCTGTTTGGGTGGGGACATGGAGTACAAAAACAACTTCTGGTAATGAGTATGCTGCCAGTATGAATCTGGCCCTCATATCATGGCCACGAGGGGTGACAATCAGCTTTGTATCTCATGAATATTCATAATAAAAAAGAACTCTGCTGTTAGTCTGATAGGGGCTTCCTAATAGGTGACATGACTTTCTCTTGCTTCTTTTAAGATTCTCTCTTTGTCTTTGAGCTTTGCCAATTTGACTATAATGTGTCTTGGATAATTTTAGATAATTAGGATAATTTTGGGTTTACTCAATTTGCGGATATTTGAGCCTCCTGGCTCAAAGAAGGCCAAGGTCTTCTGTATCGGGAAGTTTTCAATTATTATTTTGTTGACTAGGTTTTCCAGGCCTTTTTCTTTCTCTTCCCCTTCTGGAACATGCAAGATTTGAATGTTTGTGTGTTTAAGGTTTTCTGCTAGCTCTCTTAGATTTTCTTCATTTTTTTAATTCTTTTTTTTTCTCCCTGAGTTATTTCAAAAAGACTTTCTTCAAAATCAGAAATTCTTTCTTCTGCTTGTTATAGCCTGTTGCTTAAGCTCTCTTCCGTTTTTTTTTTTTTTTTATTTTGTTCAATGAATCTTTCAGTTCCATGAATTCTGCTGCATTCTTTTTTAAGGTATTAATCTCTTTGTAAATTTCCTCCTTCATATCCTGGATTTTTTTTTTCTCATTTCCTTATGTTGTCTAACTGAGTCTTCCTGTATCTCAGTGAATTTCCCTAAGATTGTTGCTCAGATTTCCTTTCTAGTCATTTCAAGGGTTTCCTGCTCTGTAGGGTCTGGTATTTGAGAATTACTATATTCTTTTGGTGGTGTCATATTTTCTTATTTCTAGTATCTCTGTGTTGTCCGGTCACCTGGTAGAGCAGTTGCTTCTTTTATTACTATGGAATGGGCTTTGAGAAAAGAGGCTTCCTCTTCTTTTTCTGGTCTCTGCTGGTGACACTCCTTGTGTCAATGCAGTTGAGAGTCTTGCAGGCTGCCTGCATGGTGGCCATGGCTACTGTTGTGGCAGTGACCACTTTTGAGGTAGCCATGACAGTGGCTGAGGTGGGTCACCTGCATGGAAGTAGTGTTTTCATTGTGCTCCTTGCCTGCTTTCGGGTGTGGGGGACTGCCCTCTTTTAAAATATGACTTGAATACATACATATGTACACACACAAGTATGTGTGTGTATATATATACACACATACGTACATAAAAGAACACTAGGAAAAGTTCATGAAAAGATTTTCTTTTTATTCAAAATATTTTAACATTTACTTGTATGTACTTGTGGGGTACAGTATGTTGTTTCAATATATGCATATACTACACAATGAGTCACTTAGGGTAGAAAGCATAGTTTCATACCCCTTAGTCCATCACTTTTCCTCCTCACCCCCTGCCCCCTTTTGGCCTCTGGTAATCATTACTCTACTCTCTACTTCTATAAGAACCACTTTTTTTTTTTTTTTAGATTCCATATATGAGTGATACCATGTGGTATTTGTCTTTTTGTGCCTGACTTACTTCACTTAACATGATGGTTTCCAGTTACATCCATGTTGCTGCAAATGATAGAATATAATGTTTTATAGCTGAGTGGTATTCCTTTGTGCATATATACCACAATATTTTTTTTACTCCATTCATCTGTTGATGAACAGTTAGGTTGACTCCATCTCTTCATTTTTCTAAGTAGTGCTGCAATGAATATGGGTGTGTAGATGTCTTTTTGATTTCATTTCCTTTGGGTATATACCTAGTAGAAAGATTTGTTTTATCTTTGAATTATATTTTTCCATGAACGTTTTGAAGCACACTTGTATACATATATATATACACACATACATATTTATATATATATATACATATACACCTGACCTAATACTTGAAAAGTCTGACTCTGTAAAGGAAGCCTTACTGATGCACTAGTCCAAACATTTAGTAACTCCCTCCTTTCACCTATTACATGCATATAGAACATTATCATGAGTGGAGAATTGAGAATGGTATTAGGCCAAAAGATCAGCATAACAGATGGTAGACATCCAGACAGACAAAACTTTTGGGGTTTTTTTGCAACTCACAAGAGGTCTAAGACCAGGCCAACAAAAGGAGAATGGTGAAACTAGACTTAAAGGACAAGACTCAAGCAATGGCAGCTAAAGGTATATCTTTCCCACCTGTGTGGGTGGCTGCTCTCTCTCAGTGGAGGCTGAAGTAGAATTGGCTGAAGGTATGACTCTCCCCTCCGTCTTCTTGCAAACGATGGCCCCTGTCTGATACCTATTCTGTCCCCACAAAATACTTTAAACCTGTTTCTCTCCCTCTCCACCTTCCCAATCCAGTCTCTAATGGAAACTATATTACTTATTTTATTCCACAAATAACTCCAGACACCCCTGTTTCCCTCAGATACTTGTTTATTGAAAGTGGGCTCTTTTCCCCTGTCGACACCTAGGGTTGATTTCCCAGTAGCTCTTTTGGAAAGCCAGAAAACCTGGGAATGGAAACTGATCAAAAACAGAACGAAAAATTGTTCATTCTACTTTGGTTGTCCAAATGAAGGACAAGTTGGCAGGAATAGTTGACATTTATATTTATTAGTGAAGAAAATTCAAGTAATTGCACAATGCCTGGGCTTGTGGATATTTGTTCTGTGGTCTTGAATGGGGTTTCTCTTTCCACCCTAGGGGAGAATTTTGCCTGCGTGCTTACTGAGAGTTAGCTGCCATGTGTCCCACACACGATGCTTGGGCAGGCATAGATCAGTGGAGTAGGTCACATAGATTCATACAATTTGAACTGCTTTTCCTTTCCCTGTGAATTAATCTTTTAAATGTCAGCATTTTAAACTTGGCCTTTTCAAAAAATATGATACCACATGAACCTTACTTAATCGAAAATACATTTCTAGTTCAAAGGTTTTTGGCTGTTTTTTTTTTTTTTTCCCCCCCTGAAAATGAGAAAAGCTAACCAAAAAAAAAATAAATAAATAAAAAGAAACTTGTTAAAGGATGTGTTGTGTCTGAGGGAAGCTGCTTTTAGTTGATTGGGTCTAAGCAACTTTGTTCTTTGAGAATCTAAACTGTCATTAAAATTCTTTTTTACATACCTAGCATTTTATAATGCAGACTTGATCTTTTTCTGCCTACCCATGGGAAATTTGGAGCCATATGATTCTAATCAAGCTTTAAAGGAGTAGTGTAGGTCTTTAACGGCTACATTGTTTTATAGTCATTTATTTTTGTTAGCATATTGCAGATTAGTAACTACTGATTACTGCTTATTTCATGTTTTTTTATATAGCAACCATTTGAGTTAAGTTGGTAAGGTATTATTATGCCCATTTCATAGATTTGGTAACTGAGACCAAAGGAGGCTGAATGACTAGTGAGATGTCAGTCATCCACCTTGTTCATGGCACACTAGGATTCATAGCCCACAGCTCTATGTTCCCTCTATAAGAAATGAACTGAAAGTCCAGAGAGATGAGTTAGAATCCCAGAATTGCCCCTTAACCAGCTGTGTTAACTTTGAGCAAATGATGAAACCTTTCTTGACTTCAGTTTCTTCTTCTGTAAAGCAGATGAACGTTGCCCACTCCTCTCCAGACTAAGATTCTGTGAAGAATAAAATGAGATCATGTTGATAGTATGAAATGCTGAAGTATAAGATAATTAACCTTTATCATCTTCCATAATAATAGGGCTGAGTCCAATGTCATATCAGGTGTCAAGCAGGGTGTCTTCCATTCTTCATTCTCCCTCCAAAATGGTCAGGGAACCAGACATAAAGAGGGGGATTCAAGGGTCTTAAAGACATAGGAAGTGGTCTGTGACCATGTCAAGTCAGGTGAATTTTTAAAACCGTGTGCATACATCTTTTTTTTCATGTGGATGATGAGACTATTAACAAAGCCTTCCAAGGAATTGAATAGTACATTGAAGCTGAAAATCAAACACTGTTAACTTTCAAAATGTTAAAACTTTTGGTAGTTGGTGCTCTTCAATTTGCAGAGTATCCATCTGAGCAAACTCCTGCCTGCCAGGAAATGTCACAAGGATTCTGCCAAAAACAGACAGATGCTCCCAGACGTAGGAGGGAGCCAGGGCTGCCATGATGCCTGAGCCAGGGACCAGGACAAGCCCTAGCTCCCTAGGCAGGAACACCATGCACTGACTCCCTTCCCTCTGACACTGGGCTGTTTTGCAGGGTGATGTTCAGAGGACACTCATCCAAGTGGACTTTGGCGATGGTATCGCAGTGTCTTATGTCAACCTCAGCTCCATGGAAGATGGGATCAAGCACGTCTATCAGAATGTGGGCATTTTCCGAGTGACCGTGCAAGTGGACAACAGTCTGGGGTCTGACAGCGCCGTCCTGTACTTACATGTAACTTGTATGTTATTACCGTTGTTGGTTTACGATGTATCTTAAATATTTGATCCTTTAAAATCTAATCTAAGTCTCATATCTAGAAGAAATGCACTAGTTATATTTTAGCATAAGAGGAATGGGAAGTAAGAGAGTAAAAGAGCAAAGTGGGAAGCGAGTAAGAAGCAAATCAGGGAGTGGAATTTGAATAATGTTAGACTCTGGGTTGCCTCAAATTGTTCTGCTTGTGCTTACTACGCCTCCTCCAGGTGCCTTGGAAATCCACCACCTGTGTCTGTAGGCTGGGCCTGACCAACTTGCAGAGCTATTTGATTGAAACATATAATTTTTTTTTTTTTTTGGACAGAAATGGTTGAAGTCAGTCCACATTCACAGCTCAACTTAATGCAGTAAAAATTAGCACAAATAACGGCATTTCTCCCCCATCTGATTATTTGTCTTCCCATATTATGCCTTGCTATTAATAATCCTTTTAAACATTTGCTCCTTCTTCTTTTTTAAATGTGTTTCTTGGGCTTCTATCTGTGGGCAATTTGGTGTTAAAGAGAAGGTGGTATAAGGGAAAACACAGTAAAAACAAGAAGGCAGCTGTAGGAGGAAACAGTTCCAAGAAATAATAGAGCTTTTCTTCCACTGAAGGATCTAAAGGTGTGAGTACATATGATGAGATAATAATAACTTCCATGTTACGTTTGGTAAAAAATGTGTGCATCATGAATATGGTAGGTGTGAGGATATCCTCAGTCATAGGACATTTTTTGGTTACTAGAAAAATAGTAGTTTACACCAAAATGATAGTCACTCCCTTATATGAATGGCCTTGTTCAAATTTCAAGCTCTAATTCAAGAGTATTAACATCAGGCATTACTCCACGCCTCTCCCCTGCACCTTGCCCATGGGATGAAACTGAATACAGAAAGTACCAAGTAGAACCTTTTTTTTTTTTTTTTTTTTTTAGGTATGGGGATCTGAACCCATGACCTTGAGGTTATAAGGCTGCGCTCTAATCAACTGAGCTAATCAGCCAGCCCTAGAACCTTTTTGTTTAAGCTGCTGTGGTCCAGTGGGAAAGCAAGACTATTTGTGGATACCCAAGAGATTGCTTGGTTGCTTAGGATTCCTAATACTCATATATCAGTAATCCTTGATCTCTATCTGCTGTACACTCATGACAAAGGTGCTTTGAAGAAACATGCATTCCCTTCTCTGGGTCTAAACAAAATTATACACTACTCCCAGTATGCCAACTCAACGTCCCCCTTTTTGGCTACAGTTTATTTACTGTGTTTGCCATGCTTTGCACTAAACTAGTTCCTTATGTGTATTATCTCACTTCTCAAAACAATCCTATAAGTAGACACCATCAGAAACCCTACTTTACAAAGAGTGTTGAAGTTCCAGGGGCTTAAGCACAGCCAGACCTCAAACTCAGTCTACCTATGTCTAGAATTCAGGTCTTGGTCATTAAAGTTAGTGTCAGAACCAAGGGTGGCTTTGGGGTTGGAGGAAGTGAGTCTTCACCAGCTTTTACACCCCGTCCACATCTTTGCAGGTGAAGGTCATGAGCATTTAGGTCAGAAGCACTGTACTTCAATATACACTGCATAGGCTGCTTTCCATCTGACCGCCACCCCTAAAGCCGTCCTATGTAGACTTACAGCAGTTGCCTGTTGCTAAGACATAATAACCATCCTGCATATCCGTATTGAGGGTTGTGAAAGTGATGATGAGATAGTGATAATCTTAAAATCTTTAGAACTATATCACAAACATTAATTATTAGCAGCAAAAATAACTTGCAACACAAATGACAGCACCTCTTCTGAGAATGGTCGACTACCTAGCTCCTTACTGTTTCCCACAGCTGATTTGGTAACAGGGATTTTTGCTAGAGCTACCCAGTACTAATTGTATTCCATATCTCACATATTTAATGTACATCTACCATACGCCAACCATGTGAAAATACTGACTTAAAATTCAATAGCAGCTTCTGGTCTAAATTTCTCAGGGTCTGTCATTCTGATTAAGTTTAGATTCTGGCCCCAACTCCTGGGCAAGTTGCTCCGTCTCTCTGAACCTAGATTTTCTCCTCTGTCGAATGGATGCATATCTTGTTCACAAAGGTCCCATCAAATATATGGTGTGCTGTCAACTAGTAAAACTTGATTTTTCCACAATCACAGTAGCATATGCATTTGGATTTAGAGGATTCTGAGACAAGAAAATTAGCAACAACTCCTAGCTTGCCCAGCCTGCCCTCTGGGGCGCTCCCAGAAAGCCCACTGCCTGTTTAACATACTTGTTCCCTCCACTGTCCAATGCAGAAAGGTGATTCAATTTCAAGTTAGAGGTTTTACAAAGGTCATCAGAAACAAATGGATCTGATGTTCCTGCTTAGTGTTTCTAGCAGTAGGCCAACAGCTCTTGCCGGGAGCCTGGCTAATCTGTCGTAGCCTGACAGTTGGAATTCCTTGGGGAGAGTATTCACTGTGCTCTACTCGTTTGCAAACTAATGAGACACGTGATGCAGCCAGTGTTGCCTTCAACAGATGGGGTATAGAATTTAGAGGGCATGCCGATCTCTCCTCAGAAAGCTGCCATATCACAGCCAGTCTTGCAGGAAAAAAAAAAAAAAAAAAAAAAAAACTGAAGGCTTTGCAAACTTGCAAAGTGACAGCTGAAGAAAAGGGTGAGGTGGATGTTCTAATCTTTCCTAAATTCTGCCTAACTGCTCCTGTACGTAGGAGCCATTTGCAGATGTCTTTCTGACCTCATTGTAGGTTAAAGTGATCTGTGTAGCTTGAAAGCACATGTAACTTTGCAACTATTCACACAGTCATTATATTGGCCAGCAAACATAAGACCAGGGTTTTGTAAGGTGTGGTTTAATGAGTCACCTGCCCCAGAATTAAATGACAAAACTTTAGTATTCTGAGCCTCATTCTGATCTGCTGAATTAAAATTCCTGGAAGTGCTGCATCATAATCTGCTTTGAACAAATTAGCGTGGTTCTTACATACACTGAAATCTGAGGAATTCTGCCTTAGAATCTCATCTTCATAGTTTGAATCACTTTTTCTTCTTCTAGTGGCTTTTATTTTAACATTTCAGACAAATAGCAATATGATATATACATGATATTTAATTAGGTGGTCAGAGGTCTCCAGAACGTAAACACTAAAGGCAGGCCAGAGCAGTCAGTACACACACACACACACACACACACACACACACACACACACACACACACATAAGTCTCGAAAACGTCAGTTATTTCCTGCAGCACAGGAGGGCTAAACAAGAGAAGGGAAACCCAATTCACACAAGTAATTCCCAGTTCTCTCAACCACCTTGCCAGGAAGATTCATATGGAGTGATACAGCGCCACCTGCTGTCCCTTTTGTGCATTGCAGGCACCTGTCTGATGCAGCAGCATCTGCCCGCTCAGTTCTCTGCTTAGTGCAGCCAGCCAGTTGGGGGCTTCTGGGGGCTGGGGTTTCACTGCTGAGACTCCATTAGGACAGTTTGCACCCTCTGTGCAGAGCAGAGATGCTTAAAGGATAGGCTTTTGGGTAGCAATAATCAGGTTTTTAAAACTCATAAAAAGTAAATTATAAGTAAATACAAGAGGCTGTGGGAATCTGACAGATAAATTTTATATATGCATGCATGTATAATATATATACTTGCAAACATTATCTTATACAAATATATACATATTTGAGGACCTATCGGCCAACATACTGTGAGTCCTGAATACCTCTAGACCTCTTTGGCTCCGCTCTTTCCCTCAGTCTCTCCGCTGCAGCCGTTTGGGATCTCTTGCTATTCATCAAACATGGCAGGCACAACTTCTCTTCAAGCTCTCTGCATCTGCTTTACCCTCACTCTGGAGAATTCCAAATAAATACTTGATGCAGCCTTTCACTTTATTCAGGTTGGTCATCAAACGTCATTTCTTCTGAGAAGTCTTCCTTGACCACCCTATCCAGAATAGCACTCTATCACCTATCCCTGCCTTATGTGTTCAGTGCCTTCCTCCCTCAATAATACCTAAGCTCCTCCAAGTTCCAGGTGTCCCTAGCACCAAGAATAATACTCAACACATAGCAGCACTCAAAAACTGTTGATTAAAAAAAAAACAAAAACTATTGATTAAATGAATGATCATATTTCACTAACAAGATTCAACTTTTGTCATTGACACAATGATACATTGGCATTGTTCTTAACACTGATATTCTGACTTTTAAAAAAAATTAAATATTCATATGTGAGAGAGACAAAAAAAAAAAAACCTGTTTAGAATGGAACTAGCATTTCTAGCATAGCTTATCTGATTACATTCTGATTCATTTAATTAACTCAGATCAAGGAAGTCAGGGAGAGAGTCACTCAGGAGGGGATGCTGGAACTGATACTTGAAGACTGACAGGTGCCATAAGGAAGGTGTATAAGCAAAGGCCCTGGGGCAGGCCAAGGCGTGGTCTGCTGGAGCAAACCACGTGATGGGGGGATGGGAGGAGCCATGCACCAAGGGAGAGCAAATGTAAAGTGCATTTCCCAATGCCTGGAATGTATTTACATAATCAGTAAATAGTGACTCATAGCTATTTTGTTAAAATGGGTCTGGAAAGTCTGATTGAGTACTTGTCATCTGACCAGAGCAGGGGCTCTGAAATTAAATTGCTTTGGTTCCTACTCTGGAATTGATGTTTTCTAGCTGTATGACCTTGGGAAAGTCACCTTCATTTGTTTATCTCTAAATAGGGAAAATATTAGTGCCTACTTCATAAGGTGGTTGTGAGGATGAAATGAGGAAAAAAAAGTCATTAGCAGAACAAATAGCTCTTAGTCTTTGCTCAGTAAGTGTTATCCTTTTCTTACCTCTTTGAACCATTCTGACTTACCATCAACTGCTTCTTAACATATGGCTCACAAGCCAGAAAATCAATTTTATTCTGCGTGCCAATCACCAAGCTTCTTATTCTGTAAAGAGAGTGTAGCATGAACAAAGACAGAGGCAAAAAAGTCATATCATTTGTTCATTTACCCAGTGAATATTTGAGTATCTGCTATGTCTTAGGAACTGTGCCAGTCTTTGTATATAAAGATAAATATGAAGGATTCTCCCCCTGAAGAAGTTTGCCACCTCTGTCTCACAAATTTCAAATTAATAGGTCGGCTATAATTATTATTATAATTAGATAATGCTAATCTTAATTTTGAACAAGTAAGTATGAGTAATATGATCAGCTTGGCTTTCTAGAAAATCACTCTTGCAACAGTTTGGAAGATGGATGAGAGTGAGGAAAGGTTAGAGTCAGGAAAATTTCTAAGAGAGTTATAGTGGTTCCGATGGGAAAGGTCCTTAGTGTATGAACCAGGGCACCAGATTGCACAGGGTGAGAAGTGGCTCGAGATCAATGTCTAGAAGTATTTATGAAACAAAATCAATGGCTTCCTAAATGGATGGACTGACAAGAAGGAAGAAATCTAGACTGACTTTCTGCTTCTGGACTGGGCCCCTAGGATGAACATTAGTGTTAATAACTAAGCTATAGAGAATAAGGGACAGGAAAAATAAAGGGGTCCTTAGGAACATTTGACTGCTACTTGAGTCTGGAGCTGGGAACTTTGTTTTAGTGTCCTCTTGCATGCATTTTATAATTGATAGTTAGGGTGTTGGTGATATTACCCAGCAGAAGAGTGTGTAAGGGGGAAAAGGCCAAACAACAGGACCCCGGGAAACACATTTGAAGGGCAAACAGAAGGGGCAGTAATTAAACCAGATGGAAAGGCCTGAGCCCCTACTCTCTTCTCCACTTTGTGGAACCAAGGCAGGGATGGCACATTTTTGTTGCGTACAACTCAAAGGAAGCTATATTTTGCCCAGGAAGAGTTATCAAAGAGATGATGGCTAGGACCTTTCCATTCTCTTTGTAGGAGACATTCATATCGTCATGAGGCTTGTACAACTGATTAAGGTTTCTGGGTTTTACGGGCCTTCATAGATAGAATCATCCCATTGTTTAGGTGCACACCTCCCGAAAACCTGAGAACCACAGAGCTCTCCGTTCAGTCATGCACATCCCTGTCCTGAACAAGCTTAACTCAACCCCAAATGCAGTGTATTCCACACTTACCAAACCAGGCAGCTTTACAATGCACTCACATGCAGACACATGCAAACACACACATTTACACAGACTCACATAGATCTTTAAAATCTAATAAATAATAATTGCATGTAAAATGGTTTGGGTAATTGTCCAGCCCCCACCCCCAACCCATCCAACATGGATTCTAAGAAGTCTTCACAACCCTAGTTTACTACCGAGGATATAACCCCTTGGAAAGACTGCACCTCCCTGTAGAATCTCATATTATGCCTGTTCATTTAAGGACTTCATAAGTTAATTGTAAAATTTTTAACTTTTACATATACATAACTCAGGTTTTAGAAGTGGTAGAAAGATCAGTAAATGGAAAATGTTCAAACCCAATTATTGTTCACAGTCTATCCTTTTCTCCACAGTAGGGACAGTGCCTGAGCACTTTCCTCCAGGAATATGGCTGCAGTGTCCTGGAGGCTTCAAGAGTGAATATGCATTCTCTTTACAGCAGGGAAGGCCCAGCAGAGGAAGCTCTTCCCTCTCCATGGCCCCTCTCTCTCTTGCTCCTCAGGTCCGCTGGAGCACGTGCACCTGTCTCTTCCCTTTGTCACCACAAAGAACAAAGAGGTCAACGCAACTGCTGTGCTGTGGCCCAGCCAAGTGGGCACCCTGACTTATGTGTGGTGGTATGGAAACAACACTGAGGTGGGTCTGCCTTCTGCACGGGGTCTACTTGCAGAAGCCAAACTCACACTGGCTGAAGCAAAAAAGGGAATGAAATGGCATATGAACTCAAGAGTCTAGGGGCACTCCTACCTTCAGGGACACCAGGCCCTCGGAGCTCAAATATGTCATCAGTGGGTTCTCTCTCTTCCTCTCTCTTTCTGTCTCTCTCTGTCTCTTTCTCCCCACTTCACTTCCTACATCTTATCTTTGACTTCCTCTACATTCCCTTTCCTCTCCAGTTGGACTTTGCAATGACCCTTAGCAGCCCAAACTTAGCAGAGAAATAAAATGCCGTTTTCCAAGCAGTTCTAACAGAAGTCCCAGGATTGTGGGCCAGCCCGGTGGCGCACTGCTACAGTGCGCCGCTTGGGAGCACGGTGGCGCTCCCGCCGAGGGTTCGGATCCCACATACAGACCGGTTCCCGCTCACTGGCTGAGCGAGGTGCGGGCGCAACACCGAGGGTTACAATCCCGTTGCTGGTCCCGGTCCGGTACGGGCACGACACTGAGGGTTGCGATCCGTTGCCGGACACGAAAAAAGACAAAAAAAAGGGAAAAAAAAAAAAAAAGAAGTCACAGGATTGAGTCTCATTGACCAGGCCTTGATCGTGGTGCTGGGGTGGACAAGGAGGTGTTGAAGTCAGCCCCCTTAGACCCACATGAGCAGAGAAGGGAGGAAGTAGTTACCAATAGGAAAGAGGTAAATGGATACTCAGGAAAAAGCAACAGATTTCCATTACAACCCCCCTCTCAAATGGCCTCCTCAACCTACATTGCAAATAGCTATTTCTTTAGATCAGCTTTACCTTTTATGCTTTCCCCAAATGTTCCCTGTGCTCAAAAGTCAGCAGCAACTTTGAAACCAGCAGAGACCTTAAACCTCATTTCCTTTAAGTCCTTCATTTTGCAGATGAAAAAATGAGGCTGAGGCAGTTGAGGTGGCTTGTTCCCGTCTCTTCCAGGTAGAGCCCAAACCCAAGGCCTTCTGACACCTACATTAATTTTTCTTTCCTCCACAACAGGCTGCATGGTCTATTGCCATTCTGAACTATTTTCATTCTCAGAAATTGAAATGCTTCCAAATGCAATCTAGGTAGTAGAGCTGAGGCCCCAGAGCATCTCTCTAAAGGGCACGGGATAAACTGCCCTGGACTGGAAAGCTCTGTCTCTTCCAGCGGAGTTGCTTTCACTTAGTGACTTTGCTCTTCAAGTACAATGCATCGTACTTTAATGAAAACATTTTTCTACTCTAGAGCTGAAATTTGGCTACAGCTGGAAATACAATTTTGCACAGGCCCCGGGAGGAAACCTCCCCTGAACCTGGACCTGCTACAAGCCTGACAGTGGAAAGAACCTTTAACCTCTACTGCTAACACAACTAAGCTGAAAAGAAGATCTTTTTTATTTTGTCTGAAACTATGCATGTCCAGTTGGCCCGTATTGGGCCCACTACCCACAGTGGAAGAAGTGAAAGCTATATTATTTGTCTAAAAGCTAGGACTAGAAGGTGAAAGTACCAAGCAACTTTCTTCTGTGCATCCTGTTTTTTGTTGTTGTTTTTTTCCCCTTTAAAAGTAAACCAAATTCTCAACAGACCCTAGTGAGACTTTTCTGCTGGGCTTTAGTCTTCCCTCTTCCATACGGGGTATTAAATGAATTCTGATTTTTAAATTAATTAAGAAAAGACGGGAAAGAAATGCTTGCTAGGAGTGAGTTGAGGGAGGCTAGTAATTTTTCCCTCTAGGACCCCAGTCTTCGATTGTATTACAGGCACCACTCCAAATCTTTTTTTTTTTTTTTTTTTTTTTTTCCTTTTGAGTCCTCAAACCACCATCCAATTAGTGCTTGTTTCCATAGCAGCTACTTCCAGCAACCTGCCGAAAGGTTTTCTCCAAGGAAGCCAGCACACAAGTCCACTTCTGTCTAACTAGTGTGCAGCTTTGGTGTTGAGAATTGCTGTGCTCCATTGTAATTCTACATAGATTGTACACCTGGAGATGAACACCTGGCAGCTTATAGATTTTCAGTAAATGCTGCTTAAACCTAGATTCCTATGAACCTCCTGTTCTCATTTGATTTGAGTGTTTCTAGGGATCTGCTTGATGTGGGTAGGTTATGAACATAGAGAGGCCTATATCCCACCAGCAAGCAAGAACTATTGATTTCCCTACCCCTGAATCAGGACAATACCAGGAGAGAGGTGTCAAATTCACAAGGAATGGGCAGAGTCGCTTGGGGTCACTGCTTTAGTAGCCTCCTTTCTGGCCTGGACTGGAGCCGAGGAGGAGGCGTAGCAGATGGACGCAGTTCCATTGTGCCGCACCAGGAAGATCCTGTGCTGAGTTAAACCACTTGTTGACGGCTCCAAGCTAGTGACTGTCTCAACTCTAACTGAACAGCTTTCTCATCACTCTGTGCCCTTGCTTTAGCCTTTGATCACCTTGGAGGGAAGCATATCTTTCAAGTTTACTTCGGAAGGAATGAATACCATCACAGTGCAGGTCTCAGCTGGGAGTGCCATCCTGCAAGACACGAAGACCATCGCTGTGTATGGTGAGTGCTTGCCTTTGCTCACTCATCCCTGCCCTTGTGCTCAGATGAGGTTGTCTGGTTCCCTTGAAGCCTGGACCCTCCAGGCTTATGACCTTCACCTAGAGAAGAGAGTGGAGGCCAGTAGTTGAGAAAGAGTTGAGGCAAGTCTGTCTCCTCCTTTAGGGGAATGGGATTCATTAGCAAAACAGTGATCACAGGACCCAGAAAGGGTTTGTTTTGCTTTCTTAATGTCACTCTGGTGCCTGTAGAGTGACTATTCACTCACTCTAGCTAGGGTACAGTGGGTTTCATGATGCATAAGCCTAACTCATTTCTCTTAGAATTTCAGTGCTATTTGAATAGCTAAAATCAGTCATAAAAGAAAATGGCTAATGTTGAGGCTTTTTTAAAAAGTTCAACTTTAAAATTTGGATTATTGAGAGAAATCTCCCATTGTCCAAATACTTTAAAAATCTCTTCCGCAAATCTGCATCATTAAAAAAAAGAGAGAAAGAAATGGAAAAGAGAGAAAGAAAACCTCTGTTAGATTAAAAGAAATGGAAGGGTCATGACAACCAGATGTCACGCACCATCATAGACTAGATATTAGTTTTAACAAATGGCTCTACAGAACAACTTTGTTATCACTTGGGGAAATTGAATATGATCAGAGTACTAAATGAAATGAAAATTTACTGAAATGGGAAGGTGGAATCAGTGACTGAAAATGGGAGATAGGAAACAGTTTTTGGGTTCATCGCATTTTGGTAATTTTTATTTTTCTACATAGAAAGGTAGTCAGATGGATGTGCACTAAGTGTTACTAGTGGACGGTAAAAATGTAAACATTTATTGTTAATATGGAAGCAGTACAGATGCATCATGGAAAATTAAAATTTGAAAGAAAAAAATTTAAAATTAGTCAAGAAAAATGAGTGTTGTGCAGAGACCAAGAGAGAAAAGGAAGGAAGAAGAGGGATGAGAGAGAAGGAGAGAGAGACAGAGACAGAGACGGAGACCGGCCTGTGGTCCAAATAACACCAATTGCCCCAGTTCTAGAATTTATTGATACTGACAAGACAATTTAGGACTAGATTTTCCTGTGGGGAGTCGGTTTCTGTTTTTCGTTTCTCCTCTTGCCAACTTAACCATCAAAATCAGAAAATTATTTGTAAGCATCTTTTTTTTTTTTTTCCTTTTTGTCTTTTTTCGTGTCCGGCAACGGATCGCAACCCTCAGTGTTGCGCCCGTACCGGACCGGGACTGGCAACGGGATCACAACCCTCGGTGTTG